ATCCGTTGTTTCAGAATCCAGAGGGATTGAAGATAGGTTTAATAACTTTGTCCTATCGTCGTCTGTAACAATTGATGCCTTTGATAAAGAACCATTAAAATGTGCCCGGGTTGGCTTGGTCTTGCTCTGTGTTATTATCCCATAGTTAAGCAATTTCTTATCATGCCGCTAATTTATCAGATCCCTAACCCTCTGTGACTTCTGGTCCGTCATGCTATGGAGTTTTTGAATATCATCAAAAGTGAGAACCATACCTAGATCCTTCCTTAATCTAGACTTGAGATCTAGGAACTTAAATAGCTTACGCCTCTTAGTCTCGTAACTTTCCTCTAATTTCTGGATGAAGGCGTGATAAAGTATTTAATTAACTGTGTCCGAATGACACTTCCTCATTTAATTGCAGAAACAGATAAAAATGTGAAACAGTTTGCCAAAGATGCTATGGGCAAATTCTAGGTTATAAGTATCCGCATCACTTAATTTCTTTAATAATATATTTATACATAATAATTTACTATACAAGGAATAAGCAAACTTTGATAAATCTCCTGAGATAACCTTTTTGTGTAGACTTTCATTTCGTATGGAAGAGTGTGATGAAGATATTCGTAGTTCAACGTCACCAGAATACAGAGTTTAAGATTCGCCCACACAAGTCTAAAAGAATTAACGAAACCTATATGTGTATATATCTAAAAAAATTCTCACTATAAGTATATGTATAAAGTACGAAAGAGCTGATCTGTTTTTTGACTTAGTGTTAGCTTGAGCCATTTGCAAGAATGAATCCCAGCTCTGATCATGTTTGTCATACGACGAACTACAGCTCAGCCCGTTTTCGATCGAAAGGAGCGAAAATTTCTTGTGGACTGTGCCAAATTGATGCTTTACAGCGGTAATCAGCCGTCATGTTGAGATCGACCTTCGAATCTCTTCATTATGCACATTCATACGAAATAAAGTTCTCCACAATAATAATTTACTTACCATTGTCAAGTATTTATCGAAGCACTGGCGATGCACAGCGTGACCGCATGTCTGAAGCAGCCCTCCTGGTTGTAGAAGTGGAAGGTGAGTCGTCAATCGGCGCGGTAAAGCGACTCGCCACCAACGGCGCTGTTCAAGAAAAGCAAGTGGGAGTTCGGCAGGAGGCAGGAGACCTGAAGGTAGTGGTTCGCATGGACATCCAGAGGCTGAGGCTGTAGCTGAGGTGACGGCATTAGTGGCGACAGCAGAAGCAGTAAGACGGCCACCGGAAGCTACCGCACGATTGAGATTACGTGCTGGAGACCGACTCGAACGAGCTGAGTTGGCATCCACTTGACCTTTAATAGTGGAATGTCCAAATAATTCAGTATCGCCTTCCATAATATAAATATGTACTTAGAAAATTTATAAGAGAGTAAAATTAATGACATTTTATACAAAGTCAAAATGATGATAAGAGCTAAAGCATAAATATATAGCATAGGAAGATCACATGGAGACAAGAGGTTTAAAAAATATTTTCTCATGCAAATCATATGCATTCTTGATAATAACAAGAACGACAACATTTCACAATGTTGATAGTCGACTTCGGCGAGAAGAATAGGATTATTGACGAGTGAATAGTTTAACCAACAGAAGCTAAAAAAATGAAGAATGACATCTACAGGAAATTTTAATGAATAATATAATGTATACGAAAGTTCACCAAAAGCGAATAAAAAAATCTAGAATGGGTTAACAACTGGTTATACTTATATACTCCCTTCAATTAAACCTAGTATATCTAATAGTTAATATAACGTCATACGAACTGTTTTAGGTAGTGGAAAACCCCTAACTAAAAATGAGACTGTAAATACATAATATAAATTCAAATAATCTAATTGCATAATAAGAGTTGCTAATAGCACCTGTAAATTTAGGCATAAGGACAAAGTAAAATAAGCCAAAAATTCAAGATTGTACAAAAGTTAGATACAATACAAGAATCTTATATCAATGGTATATTATAGGGTTTAATTTTAATGACATAAAAAGAATATATAAAAAGGACCATAAAGTGATCTTATTAAGTGGGAAATTATCAAAGAAATTCCGTTAATCAATGAAAATATTTGTAAATGTACTTCAACAGAATTCTAAAGAACAATGTTATTGACATATATTTTTAGAAGAACCTATTACGAGATTGATTAAACTATTTGTTAATAAAAGCATGCATAAACAGAAAATCTTTAAAATGATTGTTGCGTCCTAGTAAATAAGCCATTTTCACAGCACAACAATCGAGTCTGGTAAATCGAGGCGGGCGCATAAAGTAAATAAGGGATAAATAATGAAAGAAAAAAATATAAACAGAAGCTGGATTTCAAAGAATCCTTTAACAGCTTGATACTGGCAAGACTTTCATGTCGTTTGAAAAGTCGGGTCGAAAGAATTCGTAGATTGGCCTCAACGAATACCGCGAGAGCGTTGCGTTGGACTTTTGTCTGTTGAACTGTGTGAAGAAAACTTCGGTTCACCGTTCTACGACTCCGATG